CTCTCTTCCTTTCTTTAAAAATTAAAAAAATCCTCAGGTAAGGATTAAAAATGATGAATACATAGTTAACACCAAAATAAATTCTAGATAAATTAACATTTTACAATAAAGAACACAAAAACTAGAAATAAGGAAACACTGAATTTTCATCAAGCTATTAGAGGAAAGAAAACTTTTCAAGGTAGAACACCATGAAGAAATCACAAAAGAGCAGATTTCAGTTCCTAACCATTTTAAACTTTGGTATGAGAAAATAAAAATAACAGAAGTCTGAGACAACGAATGGCCTAATTTCCCAGGCCCTCAGCAGAAGCAAGCTGGGAAAACCTGTTCTGCTAAAAGTGATCAGGATTCCTAGTGAGATGAGGGGATACCCATCAACTGCAGAGAGGTCAGCTCCGCATTCAAAGTGCAGGCCCAGTTACCACCAGCTGTGTGACCCCTCACTTATCTCCTCCCTCATTTGTAAACTGGGGAAAGTAGTAGCCTCATACACACTGAACCAAATAGTATAAGGCCTTTACAACAAAGGCTAACACATACTCACAAAGTGGTATATTCTTCCAATAAAGGCACTCTCTGGCTAGAATATGAGAGCCTTGGGCCTCAATACAATTCACTTACAAATAGAAACTTAGTGTTAACCCTGAGTAGTTGGGGTGTGAATGGGGACTGGGGTAATTTTCAGTTGAACAAACACTAATTGGGCTCTTGCTGTGTATTAGGAACTATATTCAACTGCTGGGTACAGAAAGGTGAGACAAAATGTAGTCCCAACTGCAGAGAATTCACAGTATGGTGGGACAGACACAGGAGAAAACAGATAATCTCCACACAACATTCTAGTCCAGAGATTAGCAGAAGCTACAGCTGAAGCATGGAAGGGCAGGAATGAGTCTGCCGGAAGGAATTGGGGAAATGAGGAAACACTTCTGGACAACGTGATTTGGGTATTTTTACTGTGATGCAATTAAAATACACAAATGCACATACATGAGAACATAACAACTGGAAAACAAACAAGAGCACTCCTGGGTCAAATAATAATGAAAACTGAAATAACAGACTGTCTTAGAAAATGATGTTAACAGGAGTAGACCAGAGAAAACTGAATCCAAAGCTAAGAGTGGGGAAAAGACCAACTCAGTACATACAGTTACCAAAAGGGTCAAAAACTAGAGGCACCAGAGACCTCTAGAAGTAGGAAGTAAAAGAAAAAAGGTTCTAAAAGAAGGACTTTTGACAAGGGCACCAAGACCATCCAAGGAGGAAAGAATAGTCTCTTCAACAAACGGTGCTGAGATAACTTGATATTTACATGCAAAAGGAAGTAACTGGGCCCCTACCTCACACCATACACAAATATTAACTCAAAATGGATCAAAGACATAAATGTAAGAGCTAAAACTATAAAAATTCTAGAAGCAAACACAAGGACTTAGTAAATCTTCATGGACTTGAATTTGGCAATGGGACAACAAAAGCACAAGCAACAACAAAATAAATCAGACTTCACCAAAATTAAGGACTTTTATGCATCAAAAGATACTATCCATTCAGAACACCTGAAATCTAGCTGAACAGAAGTCCTACAAGTAAGGATGTAAAAAAGAATCCACAATGAGACTGGTAGGAGGGCCTGAGACACAGAACAGGCTGGTCTTAAGCCCACATGTAGTGGTTAAAAACCGGGAGGTATATCCTGGCTGCAGATCTCTAAGGAGCAAGGGGTCAGCCAGGGTTTCAGTGCTGGGAAGAGAAGTTCCCATAACTTCAGGCTGTAGAAACGAGAGTGTGGCTAAGTGAAAAGGAGGGCTGCTGGAGTCCCAGGCATTCCTATTAAAGGGCCCCTGCACAGATGTAATCAGACTCATTCACTCTGAGCTTCAGAGTTGGGACAGCAGCTCGAAAAGCACCAGGGACAATGGGAAGGTACTGAAGTGTGTGACATCGGGGCAAGAGCTGGAGGGGCAGCTTTCTCCCAGAAAGAAGGGCTGGCAGAGGCCACTGAGCACCATATTTGAGTCTTCATCAACTTGACTAACACTGTTCACGCCAACCTGGTGATTCCCTGAAACCCCACACTACCCAACTTTAGGGCCCACCAGAGCTGCTTTCAGTGGCTTTTCCATACAAACGGCCTCTCTTGGCTCATGGTCAGACTTTCCTAAAATCTCTCAAACAAGCAGCATCTGGCCTCAGAATGCCCTATACCTCTCACTAAGCGACCCCTGGCCTGGCATTCACAGCAGTTGGCCTTGGTTCATAGCTTGGCCTTTCCTGAGCACCTCCAAGCCCAGTACAAGTAGCAGCCACCTGCAGATCACTCTGTAGCTCATATAGGGTGGCCCCGGACAGGGCACAGGTTGTGGCTCACCTTACACCTCCCAGGAAGCCCCAGAGACAATGCACCCAGCTTCAGACCATGCTGGATTGCAACCCGACCAACCTTCATGAGCAACCCACTCAAGCAGCAGACTCAGCTGGCACCAAAGCCCCACTGAAGCAAGTCCTGCTCCATGGGGTTGGCCCCTGCACAGCAGCTCCTTTGCTGTAGTCTGAGCCAGTCCTGACAGCTTATAGACCTGGGGATCAATCCCTTCCAGAGATGTGCCAACAGCAATCAAGACTCAACTACTACAGGAGGGTGCACACAGCCAAAACAGAGGAAGCACCTGACACAACCAGCTCAGGTGACTGGGGAGGCTGTGCCACTGGGCCCTACAGAAGGCCTCCTACATAAGGCGACTCTACTAAGTCCAGGACATGTAGCAGCTCTACCTAATACACAGAAACAAACACAGGGAAGCAACCAAAATGAGGAGACAAAGAAACAGGTCCCAAATGAAAAAAGAGGAGAACTCTCCAGGAAAAAAGCTAAATGAAATGGTGGTAAGCAAACTACCAGATACTGAGTTCAAAGCAATGGTTATAAGGATGTTCAAGGAACTTAGTGAGAACTTCAAAAGCATAAAAAAGGACATGGAAACCATAAAAAAAAAAAAAAAAAAAAAGGCAAAAA